TCCCCCCTCACCCCCTTCCCTGGCCCCCTCAGCCCCTTCCTTTGGCTCTTCCCTCAGGGCCTTCCCCCATCTTTCTTTAGCCCTTCTGGCCCCTTCCCTCATCTCCTCAGCCCCTTCCTGTGGTCCTTACCTCAGCGCCTCCCTTCCCTCCTCGGCCCTGTCCCCGCTGCCCACCTTGCCCCTCCTGGGGTGGGGTACCCCTGGGGCCCCTCATGGGGTGGCTCCAGGCCCCACTTGACAGCAGCAGCCCTGGGGAAGCGGCCCCTGTGCAGTGGGGTTGCTCGGTCATCCCTTTTAAATAGGATTTTCCCCAGAGTGTTAAAAAGCGCCCTGTCCCACCTGGATACTCTGGGGTTTGTTCCTCTGTTGAAAACATGGAAGTGCGTGGCCTGGGGGTGGATTTCCTTCGGGATTGGGGGGGATAAATGAACGTTCAAGCAGAAAAAGCAGATAAATAATCCAGTTTCCTTCCACCACCTGGGATCTGTCTAGGTCACCCCGGCAGGGAGACGGTTTGTCACTTGAGTAGCTGCGTGTAAACCACTAGATCAGGTTGCTCAAAGCCCCGTCCAACCTGACCCTGAACACTTCCAGTGATGGGGCGTCCACAGCTTCGATGTCTCGCCACACTCAGCGCAAAACGTGCCTTCCTTATGTCCAGTCTAAACCTACCCTCTTTCAGTTTAAAACTGTTGCTCCTTGTCCTGTCCCTACAGGCCCTGGTAAAAAGTCTTTTTCTGTCTTTCCTATAAGCTCCCTTTATATATTGAATATATATATTGATTAGATTGTAGCTTTCTAGCTGCACAATGGCTTCCAGCTCCTCCTCGTTACCCGTGCTGTGTGCATCAGTATAGAGGCACTTCAGCTGGACTATCAACCGCGACATCTTTTTAGAGGAACGTGCCCTAATTCCTCTGAGGCATTTCACTGGTGTTTCCTTGTTGGTTCCTAATGCATCAGCAGCCCCTGGCTCTTCTCTGTTGCTCAAAGCTCCATCCCCCTTCCCCGCTAAGCCTAGTTTAAAACTCTCCCTGTAAGTCTGGCCAGCTTGCTGGCGAAGACCCTCTTGCCCCGCTTGGTCAAGTGAATCCCATCAGCTTCCAACAGATCTGGCTTCTCAAAGGTAGATCCATGATCATAGAAGCCAAAACCTTGAGTATGGCACCAGCCAGGCATTCACCTGTTCAATTTGTCTCCTCCCTCCTAAACCCCTTCCTCTGACTGGGAGAATAGAGGAGAACACCTTTTGTGCCCCAGATCCTTTTAACGTTGCCCCAAGGGACTTACAGTTTCTTCTGATGGTTCGCAGTATTGTTGGACGTAGGAGTAGATGATAATTTTTAGGGTTCACCAGGCTCTCGGGGACGTTGCGAATGCGAGCTCCTGGTGGGCGGCAAATAGTCAATGTTGCAATAGACGTTGGAGCAGGGAACAGGGTGATCTGGGCTTGCCCAATCTCTTACGCAAGGGGTGAACACAGCGTGCCGAATGATGGGTCAATGGTTGTGTTGCATGAACGTGGGTTTGCCTGTGCTGGGCAACGAGTCTGGTGGGTGCTGGGAGGGAAGCCCACCCGGGATTTCAGGTACTTTTGGCAATGAGCTGTGTGGCTGATTGGTTTGGCCCGAGATCCGTGGTGCTGTCTCCGCACCGCCAGCAACGTGCATCGTGGACGCGCTGTGCTGTCACCCAGCTGAGCTAATAAATTTATGGAGAGGCTGATTCCCGATCCTTGCTGGTGTTTGCACAGCCCATTTGGGTGTCTCTGCACTCAGCTCCCCAGTGCCCAGGCTCTGGTTTAACTCTGCTGACCTTGTCGGGTGTATTTTCGCATGCTGGGGTAGTCACAGCCTTAGCAGGAAAGATTGACAAATGAAGGAAAAAAGGAGAAAGAACAACGAGACGACAATGTGGCAGCTCACTTATAAGTCACTTACTACTCAAAGCAATGCCGCAGGTCAGTAACATGCCGTTACAGATCTACACGTCTTTTAAATACCTCCAGGGATGGGGACTCTATATATTTCACCCATCCTAAGAATTTGCTACTGCAGCAGCAGATAGTGCAAAGTGCTACTACCCAGTGAAAAAACGAAGGCACGGGGAAGAGTGAGTGATTTTTGTGGTGTCCTACAGTCAGCAAGGGCAGCGTTGATAGCAGTCTCGTGCTCTGACCGCGTAGCAATGTATCTCCGATTTGCCAGATCCGCTGATTTCTCTAGCTCCTGCTGACATATCAAAGACTGGAATTCTTGCTGGCGTTGCTGGTCCTAAACACAGCTAGCCTAGGAGTAAGAAAAAAGGCTTTCTGTGTTGCTATGCTGTAGTACTCGGGTGAGACGAGACGGAAATATCTTTGTGGGGTCAGTGTCCCCGGTTGCCCTGTGAGGGTGTAAGATGAACAGCCCCGTGTAACCGCGTGCCTCGTCCTAGGAGACAGGAGAAGGGCTCTGAGCTTCTGCAGCAGCTATAAGGAAGAGCAGATCCACAGTCAGAGCACCTGGATTTCCACCTCGAGCGTGACCGTTCAGCCGCCGCCGCCGCAATGAAACACGAGTATTTTAGTATTAGGAATTATTTCTGATGAGGAAACATAGGATTTCTGGTGAGAGCTCCTTCCTCAGTGGTCTATTCCCATTTCATCTATTAGAAAAACAAGGAATTTGAGGGAATTTTGTCATCGTTATGCTGGGGAGAGTGACTGGAGCCTCTGGAGGTCAGACCATTTCTAACTGGAGTTTCTGTGTTGCTGTTTGGTGCCTCAACGCCTTTTTGGGCTGTGGCATGTGCGGTCTGTGCAAGAGGAGAGCCCATGATCTCACTGTGGTGGGGACCCAGTTCCTGGCAATACTCTATTTTGGCTTCTTTGAAAGAATGACTCATAAAGTTCTGGCATACCTGCAAGTCTAAAATAAAGAAGTAGCCATTTGAAGATCTATTTCCTCTTTTATTCAGAAAAAAATGAATGATGCCTGCAGATGCTGTCAGTCACTCTGTGAAAGAAAATAGTTGCAATGAAATGAGTCAACTGGGAGGTGGAAGCAGCAGTTCCTGAAAACGACAGTGTCCTCCTGCTGAAAGACAACACACAACGATAAAACAAATAATTAGGTTTGAAATCATTATTGACTGTGTGGGGCAGCGTCAGGAGTCCCAGCTGCTGCATAAAGTGTACAAACACAGCCTGCAAATGCCGGATGGCATAGGACCTGCGGGCTCCCTCCGCTTTTCCTGCCATGGGTGAATCATGGGACAGTAGGTGACACAGAAATACGTGGAAACACCGAGTTTCTCTTTGGTTTTCTCCTATTTCCTTATAATATGTGGTATGAGAGATCGGTTTGGTTTTCGCTTGGTTTCCTAAGGAAACGAGGCTTGTGATCGTACTATTTCTGTCTGTCTGTCTGTTCCATTAACGTTTGAAGCCATTAGCCAGTTTCAGCCCAATTTGACAGCAAGGTAGTGGTTTCACAGACTGGTTTCTTCAATTTTCTAGAAAATCAGTGGTCTGCTGGAGGACCCTCTTCCTCTCCTGCTCGTGAGAACATCCCAAGGGTGAACCGGCCCCTTAGGTGCTGCGGAGGGAGTCCAGATGGGAGGAGGTCACCAGTGGCTCAAGGTAATTCTGAATAAATGTTTGCATTTGTGCAGACCTCAAAGCCAAATCATGAACCCCATGGCTGGCTGATGCCCAGCGTGATTGTTCTTTCATTGGCATGGCTGTCGGGACAGACTAAAGCAGGTCTAAAAGGGAAAATGCAAGCACATGGAAATATCATGGGTGCCTTTTGGGAGGGTGCTGAAAATCCCGGTGTTCCCCTGCTGCGGAGACTTTGGACAGATGTGCCCAGAGGGGAGAGGGGCAACTGCAGAAACCGAGAAGAACCGCAGGCAAGTGGCTACAGCAGGAAGAAGAGGCGAGATGGGCTTCTGTCGCAGCGGGATCCCAGCATGGTTTTATTTCAAGATGAAGTTTCTCTTCCCAGGCAGTGCTTTCAGGAATGAAACAGAGCAGGACTGTTCCTGACTGATCTTTTTGTACAAGTCTGCGCCAAGAAATTGCCCGGTTTTGAACAGAAATGAGCCTGAACCAGAAGCCTCCTTAGATGCAGCATCACCAGGCCAATCTGGAGGGTCAGATAGGCCCCAGCATCTGTTGTTTGAGGAACTTCTGATGTGCTGTGGTAAAATATCAAGTTCAGAGCCATTTGGCTTGGGAAGAGTTGGCTCAGGACTTTAACTGAAAGAGAAAGTGGGGAAAGAGAACTTGTGGGCTTGTTTGACCTCTGGTAGCCCGTTATGTTTGGTTATTCCTGCTGGTATGCCCAGAAAAACTGCAGAGCTCTTTTTAAAGGTGTCATGTTCAGACCATGCAAAGTTTATGCAAAGACTTCTGGGCACCTGAGAAGGGGTGGGAGCAGGCAGCTAGCTCAGCAATGGCTGCTGCACAGCACCACAAAGTTTGAGCCCTTCTGGTTTAATCCAGGTGGACAGAAAGAGGTTTGCTCCCTCTCATTTCTGCTCTACTCTGTTTTCTGTAAAGGAGTGCCAAGCCAAACTGCAAGGAAAAGCATGAAATGCAAAGTCAGGAACTTCTTGACCCAAAGGTCTACTTTATTCTACAACACTGTCAAGGTGTATGTCACCCCCCACAAAGCTGTCTTGCCCCATCCTTCCCTCGACTCCAGCAAAACTCCCATAATCACTTCAGGATCTTGCAACAAGAGGACCAAATTTTGCCCAAGACCTTTAATTTTGTCATCTCTTTCAATAATAGGGGAAAGTCTTCAAAAATACCACAGCAAATACCATCTCCAGCTCTATACAGATGCAAGAATCCTCCAGCACGATGGTACGTGTATGTGGTTTCTCTGAGAATGACTGTAACATTTATCACGTGCTTTCCAAGCCTGCAGGTGACGGACAGATTGAGATTAAACGCAGAGGATTATTCCTCCCAGAGAAACAGCTGATTGAATCTTCTCCCTCAAAATCTTCCTTCTTACCTTCCCAGCATATGCTTATCTAGATAGGCCAGCACATTTTCCGAGCCTACTGATCTGTCAAGAGTCTTCCGTCTCTTCGAGGAAATCCCAAGTAACTCTCCACTTCACGACGTGCCCATTAGTGACATGCTTCTTCTTGTGTTTGTTGGAAAATGAATTGTATTTTCATTGTCATTGAACTCTGGTATTTGCTCATGGTGTATTCATACAGTGTACACCTCCCGCAGTAAAGCACAGTTAAGATTTTGGGTTTCTGGTTTGATTTATTCTTGTGTTTGTTTCTTTGGCTATTTTGATATCTTACAACTTCCTAAGAAACCAACGTTTTGCTGGAGTTGTGATGACAAACATTTAAATAGTCCTAACGACATTGGGGAATCAGAACCAACGTTGTTAAAACAAACAACCAACCCCCTACAAAAGCCTCTAACAAAACCCAGCTTGTTTTATGGTGTTTTCACAACGGTGTAAAACCACAACCGCACAGGCAGCTACAAGGTCCGCTCAGGAAATGAGTCAAAGATGACAAGAATGTGACAAAGTGCAGATGAGCATTTTCAGTGGTGAGCAAGTGATTTTTTTTTTTTTTCCCAAGTCCCTTTGCCATTTTTTCCCCCATTTTTTTTTAATCATTACTGAGGTAGTTATTAAAAATTAATAGCCGTGCTGCTTACCCTATATTTTTGCAATGTAAACCTGACAACCTCTGGAGATAGAGTTTTATGTAGTACTTTCTAAACATGAATTATTACTCCTTACCAGGCACAAGACTGGAGCCAGGAGATACGAGCTCTTTCTGTAACTGAAATGTTATTGTTTGATCATGGCAAAACGTGAGACTGCGAGCTCGAGACCCTTCAGATCTAAACAGAGTATCTTTTTCTTCGCTTGCAGTAATCAGTCCTGTAGTAATTAAAGAGAGGGAGCATTTGCAATTGAGCTGATACCGGCTTGTGTGAGGCTGGAGTTGGTCATACCACTCTTATTTCAGACTATCTGCAGATGCAGGCAAGTGATCCTGTTCAGCTAAGTGATATTTACAGTGGATTATTTTCTCATAGATGGAAATTTAGATTGTATCCATGATCCTCCTCCACAACCGCTTCTTTCCCACTTTGCCTGTGCTATTTCCAACCTCTAATCTATCTCCTTCCATGTAATCCTGCATTCTCCCTGCAGAAGAGCCAGGTGAGGCTGAAGAGGTGCTGGCTGGTCTCAGAGAATAAAGTTTCTCCTGCCATGAGCCGCATCAGCCCATTCAGTGATGCTTAAACTCCTCCATCAGGCAGATGTTATGAATCAGTAATAGCCATATTTTACAGAGGAGAAAACTGAGGCAGCGAGTGCTTTGCTGGGGGACAGATAAGGAATTTGGGAAGGTTAAAATGCCATTGTTCTTAGCCTTCTGCTTTCAAGTGTTGTGTATATAGGGATACGTTTTGAAACAGGAACACTTAACTCCTGATCTTATCAAACTGAGGCAGACACTGCATTTATCTCTTCATATTATTGCCTCTATCATAATTTCGTTATCTACAGCTGATTAACCCCCAGCAGCGTCTGAACTGCAGCTGACATTATATGCAGGTCCGCAGAGTCTTTCCACCGCTACCTGGCACTACCTGCTATTCTCCTGCACTAAGCAGATGAGTTTATCCACTTCTTAAATTCATCCCTGGACCCACCTTGGGGCAAGAGGTGAGAGAATTTACGTGGTTTTCCGAGATCACTTCCAGCCCTGCTGTCTGTGTTTCTGTTACAGTGCTGGCATGCCAGCCCTTTGCATCTTTAAATAGGGAATGGAAACTCTGAAAGATGTAAAAACAATTACACAGCTACCTCGTCCTGCCTTTGAGGTAGCTATGAACGGCTGCAACATATGGACGTAAAAGATAACATCTCATGTTTTGAGAGGTCCCATCCTGGGCTAATCCTCGTACTGCTGCAGCTGACAGGGTGTAGCAATTCTAGTTTTTATGCAGTTAGTGCAGACACACTTGATTTTCTTACTACGTGAAAGTGGCAGGAGGTCCACCACTGTGCTGACCAGAAGTTTCCCACTGGAAACTTCATCTTCCTGCAATGGAAAATTGATTTTCTTCAAAATTAATATTTTCAGGAGACAAATGTCCACTGCTGGGAAACATTGCTTCTTCCCTCAACGCGGGGAACAAGCACAGGGCGGATTTCTATTTTAGAAGTGTAGTCACTGCGGAATAGCAAGAAGCAATAGAATTTTACTTTTTTTTCTAAAAATGTAATTTTGATTTCTTTTTTTAAAAACATGGTTTCATCCTTTATCCTGCTGTGGATGGAAGGGGGAAGCAGGTGTTCTTCAGCTGGCTGCGTACCCTAGAGCATAGCTCCCAACCACCTGAGAAACGCACATACAAATGCAAAGCAGGTGGGCAAAATGAAAAACGTGAACAGAATTGCAAATGTATGGCAGGACCGTGAAGTGAAGGAGTCCTGCAGAATCCCTCCTCGGAGGAGCAGCTCTCCTTGCAGATCTACTCCTGCAGAGATTGTTTGGGGTGAAGGGGATTTTTTTGGTCTCTGTTTTTAATCCATTTCTTATGTCTTCTTGCTTACTTACTCCAGCAGTTTGGGAAGGATGTCAGGGGAAGACTGCAAGACTGGGAGTGTAATAAAAGTAGGACACACAAGAAAGCTGATACACGCCTCCTCCTTCAAGACCTGGATGTAAATGAGAGAAGGTTAATAACACTATCGCATGGCAGTTGCCCAAGCTGCCAGCAGCTGTTGACAAAGCTTGGCTCCGCTAGCAAATTCAAGGCGTCAGTGTTTTGAGTGCGTGGCACCTTTTTGAGAGTTCAAGAAGTGCAGAGTCAAGTTGCGTTTCTCAAACCAGCACCCAAATTTAACTCCTTGCCCACACAGACGCCAACCCACAGGTCTGGTTTCTCTTCGGGTAAATTGCTTTGCCAAGGCAAAAAAACCCATACAGGCACCAAGGCCTCTTACAAAGTCCTCATAAATATCAGCTACCTAAATAATCTGTTGGGAATTAGGACAGCAAATGCTTTGTATTTCTGGATGTGACTACACGAGTGTGGGGCAGGAGGGGGAACCTGGCACGCAGGGGAAGAAAATCCAGGGATGAACGGCAGATAACTGCACAGCCTGGGTTCTTTCTCCTGCATTTCTAATGCCAAGAACAGTAATTTAGAGATGGAGGAGGAGGGGAAGGTGGAAGATGAAGTCTGTGTATTACCTGGCTCTTCAATTTCGGTCCTAGGTGATAAGATGGGAGAAACAGAGGAGAATGTGGAAGGTTTTAGGGCAGTCGCTGACATTTACGTTCATATTCTGAGTGTGATATGCTCACGTTTGGCTCCTGTCTCCTGCAGTTTGGTTGCTGTGGCTTCTTTCCCACTCCGTGACCCTGGGTGACTGATCAGCAATTTGTTGATGAGATGCAGTTGCTGCGTAGGGCTTCTGAGCCGAGGAAAGGGATGGGCTTGGAGCCGTGCCCCTGCGGCAGGTATGCTGATGTGATGGGGACCGGATACCTGAGACATCAGCAATGCTGTTGATTCAGCATGATCAAGCCTGGTACGTGGCTGTTTCCTGCAGGTTCTGAGGCTGCCTCCATGTGGGCACGGTTGTTTTGGAAGCTTTAAAATAAAGATTTTAAGGAATGGATCTTACCCCAGCTCCTACCCTGAGAGAGCAGAGATCTGGGGTAGACAGCGGAGAAGTGGTAGAGAAGGGTTGCACTCTCCTGGGTGAATCAAGTGGGAATCAAGCGATTCAGGCTGTAATTTCAGCCTTGCACTGATTTCTTTTTGTAATCTTTGGCAAATCACTTCACCTTTCTATCTTTCTGTTTCCTCTGTCTTACCTACTTATAAATTTTGCATCGACAGGACGACCCAGCAAACCGGAGAGCTCAAACCATAATACAAATAACTAAGAAACGCCAGTCCTTACGGAGAGGCCAGGAGGCCCGGCTCCCCGTCCTGCGCTGCACGTGTGACGTGCTGTTTCCAGGAGGTAATATCATCAATGACATAATTACCAAGGAACTCGCTCTGGTCCTGGTGACGCTGGAAGACCAGCTCACTCAGCCCTGGGACCTGAGTGGACTCTCTTGCCATCTGGGACCCAGGGAAAATAGTCCCACCACGTTTTTGGTACACACATTGCCCCAGTTCTAGCCCCTCCCAGTGCTCTCTCCAGTCCGCTCCAGCACACCCCAAACCTCTCTTTGCCACAGCAACTCCCCCAAACACATTCTCACCCAGCTCCTGCACCCCATCCCACGGCCACATGGGTGACCCCTCCACGCTGAGCCCCCTCCCCAGCTCTCCACAAGCACGAGCCCCCCAACCCCCCCAAAACACCCCGTGTCCCCAGATCACCCTCCCAGCATCTCCCCGTTCCCCGTACCAGCTTCACGGTCTTCTCCAGCCTCCCCTATCCCCTGTCAGCACCCCAGTCTCTTCTCACCAGTGCCCCCAGTA